TTGAACCAAACTCACCTTTATAAAAGAGTCCTTTCTCTTGAAAAGTATGTCAAAGGGAGACACAAAAGAGCAAAATCAAAAATCTTTACAATACAAGAAGCATGGGTTACCATATGTACAGTGGAATACAAAAATTCATAAAAATCCTTACAAAGTTACATATAGTGGGTTTCAGTAAATGTTCTACAAAGCCTCTTTTTTTACTCCTCGCTACAATATTAATAGTAGTGAAGGAGAAACTGCAAGAGTACTGTGCAACAATATATTCGAGAAGTGGTGTAAATCAGATGTAGATGCTAAAAAAATCCAAGGAACTTTTGCAAATTTGAAATCGCAAAATTTTACCAAAATCAGCAGCAAAAAAGCTAAAGACTTCAATTTAACTTAATGTACACAATCGACAGCTGCTTTTTCAATAAAAATCGAACTTGGAAATTAACTTACCTCATCAATAGTCATTTGCATAATTATTTTGTTAAAAAACGTTTTGATTATACACACAATTACTTTGAATTGATATTCAAAAGATACTTGAGTTTCTGTCTATGTGGATTTTTGGAGACCAGGTCTTCCAACAATCTATTGGAATTCCCAGGGTCCAATTGCGACACGTTACAAGTACATGTAGATCTATTTTTGTATTCATGTGAAGCGGAATTTGTCCAAAATCTTATAAGTGAAAAGAAGAAAACATTTGCAGTGGCCTTCAACTCGACATCTAGATATACGTACTGTCATTTAACAATGGTTATTCCCATTCTTATTTCGAGCTTGAAATGAAATAAAATACCACAGAATCTGACACATTTGTATCAAAATTAGATATTTTTCTTGAAAAGACGTTGAGAGTACAAGCCTAATGGTAAACGTGATGGCTTAAACTTTTCAATCGTCAATTTCCCTAACTTATGCAGCAATATACCTTCATCACCTGCATAGAAGAGAGCAAACACCGACCTCCAAAACATCAGAGGTGGGACCAGGTGCCATGGAGGAGTGGGCATCCCTTGCCGACCGTTCTCCCCCCCCCCCCCCCCCCCCGTGTGCTCCTTGTCATGATCGGGAAATAACGGAAAATCCATCGTCAATTCAATGTGTAAACAATAAACTCCGTATGCTGTTGTTGAAGGTATTGCTGCAAAAGTAAGGGAAGTTGACGATTAAAAAGTTAAAGTCATCACCTTTATCAAAGAGTTTGAATGTTACAGTGTATATTACAATTAACGTCTTTCTCAAGTAAATATTCAAACATGAAACAGATGAGTCAGACTTTGTGGTATCTTTTATCTCAAGCTCACCAGGGTTTATTGTATCTACATACATGTATATAAGAATGGAAATAACCATTGTTAAATGACAATACTTCGTCGATATATCTAAATGTCGAGTTGAGGGCCACAGCAAATGTTTTCTTCTTTTCACGTATAAGTTTTTGTACAAATGCTTCATATTAATACAAAAATAGGTCTGGTAATGCAGGGGGGGGGGGGGGGATTGGTACTGCAGTACCCTGGGAATTCCAATAGATTGTTGGAAGACTGGTTGGTCTCCAAAACCACGGAGATCTTGTTAATAAGAAATTTACGCATCCTTTTGATGTCAATTTCAGAGTTATTTGTGTGTACAATCAGACTTCTTTTTTTATCAAAATAATTTTGCAAATGGTAAAAAGAATTAAGGTAAGTAAATTTTCATTTTTATTGAAAAAGCAGCTGTCAATGATATCAAAAGGCCTGAACTTTATTTTATCGTGGGGAATGGTTTTGTACATAAAGTTGAAGAATCGCGAGTTTTTATGCTTTTTATTACAAAATCCTGTGATTTCAAATTATCCAAAACATGCTTTGATTTTTAAGTATCAACATTTGATTTACACTGCTTCTCGGATATATTGTTGGACAATACTCTTTAAGTTTCTCCTCTACTTCTATTATTATCTTAGTGAGGAGTAAAGAAAAATGCTTGGTTGAACATTTACTGGAACCTGCTATGTATCTTTGTTAGTAAGGATTTTTATGAAGTTTCAGAATCCAATATAGATATGGTAAGTCAAATTCATTTTGGTTGTTTGAGATATTAAAAATATTTAAAACTTACAATTTATTATTACGTCAAATGCTGACTGACGTTTTCCATTCTCATTTTTAAGCCATTATTCACACACAGAACGGATTTTCCCGTTATGTCTTGATCATAACAAGGAGCACACGACAGGTGTGACCGGTCGACAGGAGATGTTCTCTCCTCCATTGGATAGAGGACTCACTCCTCCTTGGCACCTGATCCCACTTCTGATGTTTAGAGGTCCGTTTTAGCTATGCTCCAATTTTGTGTTGTTTGATGAACTTTTGAGCTTGAACATTGTTCGTTATTTCCATATATTTCATTAGAATACTAAGGTAGAGCTTTAAATAATATCATAGAATATTATCCCTTTTTTTTTTTTTTACTTTTGTATATGTTTGCTGTAGAACAGCATCTGTCCAAATGTTCTCAAAGAAAGGTACAGTTCTACCGCTAGCATATTTTACAATACTGTCAACTGATTATTTTATTTTTAAAAATCATAATCATCTCCTTGTTATATAATACATATACAAGACCGATAGAGAGAACAAAGAAAATGGAGCGAAAATTTTCTCTGTTGCAAAACGGTCAGTCTAAGTCAATAGAACTTAGTATCAACATTAATTACATCAGATTGTATTTTTATTTTCCTTACGTGTAGTTACAAGTACCTTCCCTGATGATATCTTCTATTGTTAAAGACTGTATTTTTGACAATTTGATCAGTTATTTAAACTTTGTGGTTTAGAAATCTAGATTATAATTTTGAATAAGTCATTTCTGTCGTTAAATCGCATTATACTTTTCTCACAAATCGTGAATCATATAATCTCCCGATCTACAGACTTAACATTACACCAGACAAAAATAACAAAAGCTGATATAACAACACAATGATCAAGGAAATGTTCTTTTAAATTTGTGTCGAATGAATGTCACATGAGTACAAGTCCCGATTTTTTTAATGGAAGGCGTGAAATATAAACATAGAAAAAAACAGCCTCTGGGATAAGGAAACAGTTGTCACCGATTTATTCCCAAGAAAAAGACATCTTTCCTTTAAAGAGATAATGATCGAGTGTAAAACTAATGCATTTATACGGGAAAATGTGAAAAAAATGACTTTTTAAGCGAAAAGGAAGTGAAGCTGGTTAATCTTACCACTGGGGAAAAGGTGGAATATTACCCCATTTGTTCAAAGAGCGATAACTAATTGTCAGGAATACAAGAAAACAGAATATCCCGATTTTAAAATCTTATGTCTTTAAGACAGTAGAGATGAGTAATGAATAGCTGTAAGTGTTACAAGATAAGCTGAATTCAGGTTCATGTAAATTTAATTTACAATTAAAAGTAAAAATATTTGAAAACATGTTGAATGAAATGTATAATGTAATATTGTATCATATGTATAATATAACGAACAGTATTCAAGCTCAAAAGGCCAATGAACAATGAAAAATAGGAACAGAGCAAACACGGGCCTCCGAAACATGAGGTGGGATCAGGTGCCATAGAGAAGTGGGCATCCCCTGCCGACCTGTCACACCCGCCGTGTGCTTATCATGTTCGGAAAATATTGGAAAAAACCGTCGTCAATTCAGTATATAAACTGGAGGCACTGTGAGCAATGAGCTCCCTAAATGATACCCCCGCCTCCCATATGAATAAATTGTGAGTGGCCATGTTTTGTTGTGGGAAACCCAAAATACGTGTCAGATCAAAATAAAAAATAGGAGGTGCACAATAGCAATATGTAATAAAGATTCTGTGAAAGTTTCATCAAATTTCATTCAGTGATATGAGAGGAGTTGCGGATAAGAGATGGCTACCCCAAAGCGTAACAGACGGACGGATGGACATACCAATTACTATATACCCTCCTGCTTTTCAAGCGGGGGGTATAATAATGGACTATAATTAGTATGAAAAACGTCAGTCAGCATTTGACTCCAATCTCTCATCAGAGGGCGTTTTTACAATCCGCTCAATCGGAGCGCCCCCTCTGGTGATTGATTGATTTGACTCAATGATCAATTGTATTTTGCTGACAAGGTTATTGAAATAAAGGAATGCCTGAGAAAAAAAAAATATTGGAAAATTCTCTAAAAGTGGTTCAAACTACAAGATCAATGTCAAAGGGTAAAAATTAATGGCACACATGGGATGACTTAGTCATAAGAAATACACATGCAACATATAAAAGTCCTAGCAACATTTGAATTATGTCAAAGGTTAAAGATTTTCAAAGAAGGCCAAGGTCAATTTTTTGTAGCCAAAGGAAGTTCTTCTCACAAGGAATAGACCTTTGGAATTTGAAAGCCCTAGTACAAACAGTTCAAAAGTAATGGCCAATGTGGGCCCAACTCCAATTTAATGACAAAACCTCAAAAATGTTTACACTCATGGAAAAAATCTTGTCAATGTGAACACACGTGTGAAATATGAAGGCCCTAGCACCAGCTAGGCAAAAGTAATGACCAAGGATAAATTTGGTAAATTTTTGGAAAAGTGGATCAAACTTCAAGATCAAGAGGTCAAATTGGTACCCAAAGGAAGGTCTTGAAACAAGGAATATGCATGTGAAATATGAAAGCTATGGTAGTTTCAGTCAATAAAAAGTTATAAGAATGGTTAAAATTTTTGTGGACAGACAGACAAAGAGAAAGAGAAACGGATGGGCAGGACAAAAACTATATACCCCAAGACTCTTTGATTACGGGGGCATAAAAAAACCACATTCATTTTGTATAGCCAAGTTGGAAGTGCTGATAACAGTTGTTATCAAGCTGTTTGTAAAGCCAAGAGGTAAATGTTTGAACCAAGAGGCAAACAGCTAAGTTGTTAGTGCCAAGAAGCATACGGCATGGGCAAATCTCCATGGGAGATCGCCCATGTCTTGCAAATTCTTGGGCAACATAGCTTCCTTTATCAGTTAATTTTATTTTATCCTGTGGAGTGTTGTATTATACACAGGTGATTGTTAAAGCCCCCTTTGACCTCTTGTTACATGAATATTTCCGAGGATGGAGGATAATACAATGTTGTATTTAATTTTCTGTTAAGTTTCATATAGAAAAGTCAAAAACGGACGAACCTCATTTAAAAAGTCAAACAATTTCAACAATGAGTCCATTTCAAAACTATACAAGAAGTATAATTCTCTGTTATCCTTGGACTTTCAGTAAGGCGTGGTATAGTTAGCGTCTGAAATTTACACAGATTTCATTCACTGCTGGGAAACATGGAATAGAAATTTGGGCGAGTGTCATCGAGTGTAGGAAATATCCAATTATAACAGCGTCTCGTACACGTCAAAGAAGTGGGGTTTAAGTCGTCTCATCGTTGTCAACAACAATTTAATGTTCCTGATATTACTAATATCTTAACCAATGAGAATCTATTTGCCATTTGACAGACGCTAATTACGTAGCGTCTAGAATACCACGTCTTACTGAAAATCCAAGGATGATAGAGAATTGTACTATACTACAATCTGCCATAAAGAAAACCATACAACTCACCCTTTTTTTAAATGCGTTTATTATGGTGCTCAAATCTTTCTATTTTTATATAATGACTTGTAAAATGTATTTGTATAAAGAACAGATGAGAAGCGTTGTTAAATTGTGAAGAAAACAGAGAAATAAAAGAAATAGAATCGCTCTCTTGCCAGGTGCCGGTTCGGTATATAAGCTTCATTGCAATTAAGCAATCTTGAACCCAGAAAATGAGGTTCGTCCGTTTTTGTTGTCACTGTACATAGAACCTTGACCTGGCGTGGGGGAAACAAGCATCAGCTCGTCTCCACCTCTGAGATACAAAATAGCAAAACCGGTAGCAGCTCCTGCGTCATATGCCTTCTCAGTATCTGCAGCAATGGCGCCCTTGATGACGCCATTGTGCTTTAACGCGGCGCCCATCTCCCCGTATTGCCCGGACGATCCTGCCACGTGTATTCCTGCAGCTATCAATGTCCAAGTAAAGCTATATACTCCAGAAGTTGGGGCTGTGAAAATTCCGGTTCTTTTATTGTATCCATTTCCAAGGTTTATCTCAACACTGTCAAAGACGAGGGTTTGTCCTTTTGGTAGGGCTTTGAATGAATTTGAATAATAAGCGTAAAATGCAACAGTAGTTGGCTGGTTCAAACGATGCCATCTGTTAATAACTGAAACATACAAATAAATTGAAAATCGTATTTAAGGGGGCCGACTGGGGTTTTATCGTGTAAAAACTACAATAGCGAAACTCTTCATTTTTATACCATATATCACTCACATTAAGTTCAGCGTACATGCCAAGTTTGGGGGAATCTACCGTCCAGGTATTCTTAAGGGACCGTCTCATAATACAGGTAAATTTACCATGAGATTATATAGGAAAGTGCCACTTTTTAGCACTTTAAAGCATGTTATACAAATACTACACTAGACTTTTTGTTCAAACTATAATATATGATAAGTAATACTTATTGTACATTATATGTAAGAAACACAAAAAATTGATAAAAATCATATGGGACATCTCAAAATGCAAAAAATTAACGACGTTTCCTGTTTTTATAGAGTACTACAAAATATAACGGGCACAAAAGATTTTTGTGAAAACATAATACAAATATTGCAGATATTCTTAAATTTCTATGTTTTGAATATCTAGAGCGCATGTTTATTACTTTTTCTTTAATAACATTTTTATTACCAATTTCTTAAGAGCTTCAGTTTATCATAACGTCAAAAAACACATATAACGACGTTAACCTACCTATCAATTGCAAAAGCGGTTAAAAAATCAGTTATATAAAATTTTAATTATATTTTTTAACATGTTATTTCTTAAGTTTGTTTAATTTTATTAATTAAATGAAAAAAATGCTTTAAAACAGTAAGTACGCTTCATTTTACTATGATGCGCGAAATATTGCGCAATGAAAACCAAAGTCGGCCCCCTTAAATATATCAGTACGTGTTAGTAAAATAATTGTTAATGATGGAATTAATATTTATCCAAACATGTTCGACAATTTATTTGAGGAGTGTTGTAAAATACATGTAGATGTGACTACTTAAAAATTCCAAGGAACTTTTGAAATCACAAAATTTTACCAAAATCAACAACATAAAAACTTACGATTTTTCAACTTTCTATACAACTATTCCCACTACAAATTAATCTCTTGGTTTTCTGACATCATTGACAGCTGCTTTTTCAAAAAGAATGGAACTCGTAAATTAACTTGCATTTCCAAAAATACTTTGTTAAAAAACATTTTTACTGTACACACAAGTACCCTGAAATTGATATTTAAAAAAAGTTTGAGTTTCTGATTGACAATATCTATGACAATATCTATCTGGTTTTTGGAAACCAGCTCTCCAAACAATCAATTGGAATTCGTATGGGTACCAATTGCGCCCCGTTATTAGCAGACCTATTTTTGTATTCATGTGAAACGAAAATTGTCCAAAATCTTATACGTAAAAAGAAAAAAAACATGTTTAAATTCGTCTTTTTTGTAGGTTCTATGGTCGATACCATGACATTGTCAGCAAATACAATTTAGCATTAGGTCAAATGCTGACTTTTTTTCATACTGATTTTTAGACTAATATTTACACACTGAGTTTACCACGGATTTCCCGTTATCTCCTGGTCATGAAAAGGAGCACACTGCGGGTGTGACCGGTCGGTAGGGATGCTCTCTCCTCCATGGCACCTGATCCCGCCTCTGAAGTTTTGGAGGCCATGTTTGCTCTGCTCCTATATTGTAATGTTTAATGGATTTGAGCTTGAATACTGTTCGTTATCTCCTCAAATTTGTATCGAATTCAAAAATATTTTTAAGTACCTGTCCACATAAAAATCAGACAAAGGGTGATACATGAGGGTTCTCAGAATTTGATGATTTTTCACTCATAGATTTATTTTGAAGTATGAACATTGTATGTAAAATGAAAAATGTTTTGAGTCATGGTAACCATGGAAACCCGGCCAAAGAAATTTCCTTAGCAACCGGCGGATTTTTCAGTGTTGAAGGACAAAAAATCACCTATCTTTGAGGCTTAAAATAACACGTAAATACCATGAGAATTATTCTTACTTATGGGTGTAATAAAGATGCACATTTATTGTGTTCTAATAATATAATAAAAAATATTTAGGTCTTAAGTCAGTTCTGAGGTAGACATTGGAAGGTACACATGTTTTACAAGTTTTGCTGATTCAGCATTTTTCGTGATTTTGGCAATATTCAAAGCCAAATTTTAAAAATGGCCAGATTAATACAGTTGTTACCTGTATCACACATAAAACAAGAAGTATTCCTCTTTTAGAATTTGAAGTCAAATCCATGGGCTCTTTTGAAAATCGAATCTGTTGCCTAGCAACAAAAATGGGCTTTTTGATGCATAAAATGAGAAACAATGTAAAAAGTTTGCGGAAAAATCAAATGAACGGTTATTTATGATAAACAAGATACAAATTTTAAAATAGTATAATTAAATTCGGTCTCCCTAGCACATTATTGAATATTGCATAATTCTTTATCTCCATAGCAACGGCAGGTTCTCCATAGCAACAAGGCAAAGAAAGATAATTTTGGCGTGTATTCGAGCAATCTTATTAAGACTTATTCAAATTAAGTCAGAAAAATGTGATTGAGCAAAACTGACAATGAACTGTTGGTCAATCTTAATTTTTTTTTTCGTCTTTAATCAACACATGGCAACGGTTCCCAGTGCATGGCAACCAATGTACCCTATGCCTCCTGTAAAGAGATTTGACTTTTGGATCAGTGTTCGTCATGGAAATGAATATTAATGTGTTGATGATTGTATTTGTGGAGAGTGCTGAAAAAATATATGAAATGTTCCACCAATTGTTGTCATGGCAACAACTACATGTGAGTGAATTTAAAATGGGACGATTTCAAAAAACACAGTATAAATTCTTAAACAGAACTGTGACTGGGCGAATTTAAAATGGGGCAAAATTTCTTGTATGTGTGAACGGGCAAAAATCATATGATACCAAATTAAGGATGTTTTCCATAGATAATGTTGTAATGTACGAAAGCCGGATAGGCTCATTTCTGAGAAGATAAAAAAAAATTTAACTCGTTATAACGAGTTAATTATCTCGTTATAACGAATTAGTATCTCGTTATAACGAATTAGTTATCTCGTTATAACGAATTAGTTATCTCGTTATAACGAGTTAGTTATCTCGTTATAACGAGTTAGTTATCTCGTTATAACGAGTTAATTATCTCGTTATAACGAGTTAGTTATCTCGTTATAACGAGTTAGTTATCTCGTTATAACGAGTTAGTTATCTCGTTATAACGAGTTAATTATCTCGTTATAACGAGAAAATTAACTCGTTATAACGAGATAATTTTTCTCGTTATAACGAATTAATTTTCTCGTTATAACGAGTTAAAAACTGTTCTAAAGTTGATATATCAAAGTGATAGGAAGTATGGCATACAAAACCGAGTCGATCAAGTTTGTTTAAAGTGTGTTTGATAAATATTTCATTGAAAAACAGCAAACTAGTTTTGTTTGTTTTTTTTCAAGGGGTTGTGTCTGTGATTGTAGTTTGTTTATTTATAAATGATGCAGTTGATTTGTATTGTTTCACTTAAAAGACCGAAGACAATTACGTGAACATGTATACGGAAACTTTTGGCTGCCTCGTGATGTTGTGTTATGAGTGGATAGTAGCCCCCGAATTTTACGCGGGCCCATGATCTAATTGCTGATCTCTCCATACCCCCTTCTTCAAAACATTTCTGACTCAAAAAATACTATATATCACACTGTAAGTGTATGTTGCATTAACGCCTGCGTTAGCTTGCTATTATAATGTATTAATTTAGGAAATTAGACATTGATTATGGAAGCTAATAAGTCATCCAAAACATATAAAA